TTCCCTACATTCAGTATCCCAGCAGCAGTAGTGAGAAAGCATATCACACTGTGAACTGAAGTTTGTGAGGAACTAGCAAGAAACTCTGGAGTGAATCCAGGATGGAGGTGGGACTGTCTGCAACATGGAGAGAGGTGGTGGTTTTGTTTTGGTTTTTTTGTTTGTTTTTGGCAGATGTTAAAAGCAATCTGGGAAGGCTAGGGAGGAGGAAGAGTCCTCTTCTGAGAGAAAGTGGGGGGTAGGAGTGGGAGAGAGAACCCACTGGATGGGAGGCAGAGATTCAGTCAACTCCCTCCTTGCTGTTGTTTTCAGTATTTCTGACCTGATCTTTAGAATAGCACCTCTGAACAGCAACATCTTTTAACTGGTCTCCAATTCTCAATAGCCTTACTACATGTTTCATGTTAACCTTGTTAATGACAACCAATTCTTGATGAATGGGACAAGGCTTGAGAGGCTTGATAAACATGATGAAAGTGGATAAAATAGTAAATTAAAGCATGCACAAAGTGTTTGCAGGATCAAGGCCCTAGATGCAAAACATGAGGGGTGAAATCCTGATCCCCTTGGGTCAATGGCAGTTTTGAAATTGATATTAATAGGGCCAGAATTTCACCAAAGTACCTATGTCTGAATTTGGGAGCCTAAATATTATTGATTTTCAGAAGTGCTGAACATCCACAAAACAAACTGATGTAACTGAATGCTGCAATTACTCAACACCTTTAAATGTCAAGTCTTTTTTCTATAGATGCCTAAATAACATGCAAACTATTGTATACAATATTTTATATAAATTAAAAAGCTAAATAAAAGATTATCCACTCTATTGGGAAGGGAAAAATAGGGAGAATCCAGCAGCATCTAAACCTATGGTATTCTGCCCCTACTAAAGTAAAATGGATCCATAATATTGTATAAAGCCTACTTTACGACATTGCTTCTAGAAACTTGTCCAGTATAAAATCTATGTTAACTATGAGAATATCTGCATACCCTGCCATGTGAATAAATTAATTGGAATGTGTATTTTTTCCCATAAAAGACTGTTCTTCCCCAGTTGGAAGATACTTAAAAATAAGAAAGAATAGTTTTATAGTGTACATAGTAATCATGAAAGACGCTGGATTGTCTGTCCTTGAGGCTGTCCCCCACTTACTTACAGAAAAGTAACAACTTAGACAATAGGGGTATTAGTTTCTCCATGAGTCAATATCATTGTGACTTTCCCCAGGAAAAAGAAGACCCACCTCTAGAGGCAAAGACATAGTTTATTCTCGATATCTTTCAGTGCGTAGTTTCTCTGCTATGACTGCCACCAAGAATGTCATTTAGAGCAAAATATATTAGTGGGATTTGGGTAAAACCTTTAGTCTTATTGGAGCTGAATGAACAGCACCTAGCTAGCAGTGCACATACAGCAGCAAACTTCCATCAGATGGTAACAGTCAAAACCAACCTGGGATTTATTTGAAGCTTCAAACTAAAGGGGAACCATTCACGTCCCAATGATTTATAACTGCCCCTCTTATTAGCTCAAATAAAAGATGGACGAAAATATCAAGAGGCAAAGAAGAATCCTCAGTGATAGCTTGCCTGCTCTGTGATTGTGAGATGAACAAAAGATATTTAGAGGGACATGAATGAGAGCCAATGAGTACTTTAAAGTTTTTTTACTTTTCACCATCTTGTGGTGAAATGCATAAATATTTACAAGGTTCTTGGGCCAGAGGTTACATTCATATTGTACTATTAAAGTTTGAAAAGGCATGAAAAAAGAGGGATGGGTGAACTATCACTGCCAGTAATTTAATACTTCCTTGCTCTTTCCTCCAACCTGTGCATCCTGCCCTCCCATGAGTGTCCAGGGAAAAGTAACATTATTTAAAAAATGGGCAGTGCAGCATCATAAATGGGAAATCACATAGCAGAAAACCGTGTGGGAAAAAAGGGTTGCAAGCCAGAGTAGGAGAATTTAAGAAAAAGTGTAGAGGATGGTGGGATCAGTTGCCAAAGAGGCAGGGATAAAGGGGGAAAGAAGGGAAGAAAGGATGTTGCCAATTTGATCTTGGTGCATATGTCACAAGACCACTAAAATTTTCGACCCAGCTGCCCCTCTTCCTGCTGCAGCAGGAGGAGACCTGCATCTGCTGCCAGGATCCCGTGGGTAGACCAGGGAAGGCGCAGGGTCTTGCCCCTTGTAGGCAAGTCAAGACCTTGCATATGGGAGATCTGCTATTTTTGACACAAGATGTGAGCAGCTCAAACAGGGGCCTGGGAGGAAAAAAGGGAACTGGGGGAGAGTGGGAGAGGCCAGGCCAGGAGGGGCGGAGCTGGAAGCAGCAAGTGGGGGTGGATGGCCAGCTAAGGACTTGGCTGCCTTCTCCCTACACCGGATCGGTGCCTCCGCCCGGGAAACAGCGCCAGGGTTGGTGCCAGCTCCCAGCCGGGGAGGCAGAGCGGGTGCAGCAGGCAGCCAGGCGGGGAGAGGCAGCGCTCAGCCTGGGAAGAGCCCTCCTCGCCCCTTCCGACGGCGGCAGCTGGCGCTGAGCGCTTTCCTGTTCCGCGCCGGGGTCTGCCAGAGGCTACAGCGGCTCCGCCCGCAGGGGGGACCTCGCCCGCCCGTTGCCTGCACCCGGCCGAGGCGCCTCCCGCCTGCTCGCCACTCGGTGGGAGAGAGATCGCGGGGAGCCGGGGGCGTGCGGACGCCACCGGCGGGGCAGGGGGGCGCGGGCTTGTGCAGTGGGGCCGGGCAGAGGCGAGGCAGCCGGCGGGGGCGCGTTGCGGGAGCTGGCCCCGCTCTCCAGCTAGTTCCACTCTGCGGGGACCTGCGCCTGGCCCGGGCCCTTGTCCCGCGGGGCAGGATGTGAGGGGCGGCCAGTCCCGACCCTGCCCGCGTCTCCCCCCAGCCCGGCGCCCGGCGCGGCTCAGCATGAGCGGAATGAAGGCGACGGACTCGAGGGCGCCTGGCTGTGCCGCGGACAGCTCGGTCCGGCTGCAGGGCCCGGAGCGGGACCCCTTCCGCGGGGGGGCGGGGACCGTGGACATCTCCCTGCACGGGCTGCTCTACCCCAAGAGCAGCGAGGAGGAGGAGGAGGAGGAAGAGCAGCGGGAGCGCCTGGAGAGGGAGGAGAGGGGCCCCTCCTCGCAGCTGGCAGGCGGCGGCTCCCCTGCAGAGAGGGATGCGCTGGACAGCGTCCTAGACACTTTCTTGGCTCCCCCGGCCCATGCCAGCTCGGCCGGCGCCCCCCAGAATTGGTGCCTCTTCGGGGTCGGGATCCCCGAAATCCCCAACGCGCTGATGAGCCACCGCTCCGAGCAGCAGCGGGGAGAAGCCGCCGCCGCCGGCCACCGGAGCAGCCCGGCTGCAATCCCGGGCCCCCTGCCGCCTCCGGACCCCCCCGCCTCCCTTTGGCCGGGCGAGGGGCCCCCGGCAGCCGCTTCCAAGCTGCCGCCGCAACTGGAGGACAAGGGAGCCGCGGAGAGCACGGACGGGCAGTGCAGCGGCCCCGCGGCACTGTCCGAGGAAGATCACGGCTTTGCCTCGGGGGGGGCCGCTGAGCAGGACGCCGGCTCCGGGAGCAGCCTCGCTCTTGCCCCTGCCCACGCCGCTGTCCCGGGGCAGGATTTCCTGCACGTGCCCATCCTGCCCCTCAACTCGGCCTACTTGGCCGCCAGGACCCGGCAGCTGCTGGATGTGGAGGAATACGGGAGCAGCTGCTTGGACCGTCGGGTATCTCCCACCTCCGCCCCCCGGGACTTCGCGGACTATGGCTACCCCCAGCCCCTCTCAAAGGAGGAGCATTACAGCTACGGGGACTTCCAGCCCGCTCTCAAGATCAAGGAGGAAGGGATCAGTGCCGCCGCCGCCCCCTACTTGGGCACCAAGACCACTCCAGCAGCAGTGTGCCCTGCTGAGTACACGCTGGCCCCTCCGCAGCCCAGAGCCAGCCAGGAGCCCTCCTCTCTCGAGTGCATTCTGTACAAAACTGAGTCTCCTGCTCTGGCTGGGTCCTATGGGCCGCCGCACTGTAAAGCCTCGGGGAGCACAAGCTGTATGGTCCAGCGGGACAGTCTTCCCTCCACATCGACAGCCCCTCAGGCGCTTTACCAGCCGCTCAACCTGAACGGCCATCAGCAGCTTGGCTTTCAGACAGCGATGCTCAAAGACAGCTTGCCCCCGATATACCCTGCCTATCTCAATTACATTAGGTAAGATTTAAGGTCACACGCGTCTGGTCTTCTCCGGCAAATGCGCCTGACCTCTTTCTTTGCAGATGACCGTTAGAGGCGCACATATTACAGCATAATGTGTGGGGTTGATCTTTATTTAAAGGGGATGATAAATTGTGCTAATTTTTACACAGTCTTGGCAAACAGTTAGTGACAGTTTTAAAAGTCTTCTGAAGAAGTGGGCTGTGCCCACGAAAGCTCATGGTACCATCTACATGTTTTGTTAGTCTTTAAAGTGCTACCAGACTAATTGTTGTTTTTTAAGTTTAAAATAAGATGTTACTGGGCTAGAGATTCAATTGGTCAGTGTGCCATAACTTATTTCTGCTTGAAAGAGATGAAATCACAGAAGCTGTGAATAAAGCACAGACGAATGGAAAAATACAGATTTCACCTAAGTTTAATTAAAATGATTTGTACTGAAGGAATATTGCACAGATTAGAATAAGTTTTACGGTAAAAAGGAGAAGTTCTAAAAAAGTGTGAGGCATTGAAACATGACAAAGAAGGAATCAAGAGAGCTTCACTTGATCACAACTCCAAAGAGCTTTTAAAATAAATACACATAGAAATAAGACACTTACATTTGTATTTGCTACATAGTTTGTGTCAAATTTGAAATCTTAGTTCTTGTCAGAAGAAATACACTTTGTCACATACTCTTCTCACATTGAAATGTTCAATGCTTTTGTAGCAAGTTTGACCTGTGAATCCAACAGCGGCTATATTTTATAAGGGATACAAAGTTGTTTATTATTGTATAATGGACTAACAGGCAATCACTTCTAAACTGTTTAAATGGTGAAAATGTCGTGGTTTACATGCAGGTAACTTCTGTATGAATTATGGCATATTTTACAAACAGATATTGTTTACATGTGCACATTTCTTTAAAATGCACATGCATGATTTTAGCTGGAAATCACTCAATTCAAAACAAAATTTAACATGGCAATATGTCCGAAATTCTGATCAAGCTCATATATTATCAACTCATTAAATAAAATGGCTCAATCTAATCTGATATACAGAAATATTATAACCTGAGAATATTTACTAATATGTTAAAGACACTTCCAATTTTTTGTAAATAGACACTTGTTTGCTAAATATAATTTCTTTAGATGGGCAATAAATGTGGAAACAATTCTTTACTGTTTTTTGTGTTCATTAAAATTGGTTAGAAATAAAAAATCTACCATTGAATTAGGAAATTTAATTTGATATGTATGAACTTTCTGCATAATGTGAAGGCCAGTTACATGTTGCCTAGGGAAAAGGCTGCTGAGTTAAATTAGTTGAAGTTCAAAACAGTTTATTTATTACTATTTTAATTTTAGCAACTAGAGAAACTTGCACAGGAGTGATTTTATTCACGAGTAGTCCCATAGAAGGATCAGGCATCTATTTTGAAGTCTCTTGGAAAGAACCTAGCTCTTTCTTGTCTAGTAGCTAAAACATGTTAAAATACTTGCCCTGTACACTAGAGTTTTAAAATTACCTAAAACATTTTACTTAAGGCGTTTTAAAGATACTTCTTAGCCAAGTCCCAAAGCAAAAACACATTCAGTGCTGCAGTGCCTTTAATCGCTTTTTTCTATCCTTATCAAATTTGCTTTCAGTTTTAAAAGGTAAGCATTAGGATTATCTCTTTTTCTTTAAAACTGACATCACTATAACCCAGTTCAAGTGTGAATCTTCTTCATGAGTCTGTTTCATTCCTGTTGATTTTCTTTCCTTTTAAAGGCCAGATACTGACGTTGGTCAGAGTCCTCAATACAGTTTTGAATCATTACCTCAGAAGATTTGTCTGATCTGCGGTGATGAGGCTTCAGGTTGCCACTATGGAGTGCTTACCTGTGGAAGTTGTAAAGTCTTCTTTAAGAGAGCGATGGAAGGTACGTCAGATGCCTTTGTTTCTAATTATTTGTAATTAGTACATTAAGCACTTTATTTTTATCTGGTTTTAAAATAGATCTTTTAAAATGTTATTGGAGCCATGTTTTGTCCCTGAGACAAAAATTCAGACACTTGCAGTATGTGGTCATTTTTCCTGGGTTATTTAATTTTAATATTATTTGCTTTACTTATAATATTATCAAGCTTGTTTTAGGTTATGGGTTTGGCAGAAGCTTATAAAAATCCAGCAATTCTTAATCTATTACTAACTTCATTAAATTTAATAAATACCAGCTTCATTTTAAAAATAATTAAATGTTGCTGTTTAGCAACAAATGGCCTCTGTATAAAACTACATTCTTTATGCAAATAAAAATTCTCTTGGCTTCCTTCTCTCTTCCTTTTAGTCAGGAATATATGATATATACTTGGTTATGGTATACAGAATTGGGCCCTTTAAATAATAGTTATTTTAAACTATTGGTTTTGTTTTCTATTCAGGACATGTATAAGAAAATCAAATCTCGGGTGCTAATAAAACAATTATTTCTTTTTAACTCTGAAAATAGCTTGGTGCCTAGTTGAGAATGTATGTTTGGTTTCTATAATTAAATCAAATGATATATGTGATTCTCCATTTCTTGTGTACCCAAAATGTGCATTTCTTGTGTACCCACTGAAATAATTGATGTGTACAAAATGTAAGATTAAACTCCATAGTTTTTCTGACACTTCCAAATACTAAATAAAGCAGTGTATTTTCAGTGGTTTAACCTTTTACATGTTTATCCTCATATCATGGCACACTAGTATACCAGAATATATATATAAAATAAACTTGATTATAGTATATTTCTCTAATTTGTATTTGTTTTCTGAAAATCAAAATTGTACAACATGTTTCTCTGGCATTCAATATAGTTTATTGACCTTTATATTGTTTAATCCTCAAGTGAAAGAACATCTGAATGTTGGGAACAAAAATATTAAAGAAAATAGTTTGGTAGATGTAACACTAATTTTTGTTCTATAATTTCTTGTTTAGTGTATGTGTGTATTATTCCGTAAATGTTATATATTTTAAAAGCCATTCATATCATAAAGTTAGTTGTAATTTACTAAGCTAGACTCCAATTTCAGAAAGTCCTAAAAATGTGTCTATATTTAGACATCTTCCTTGACTAAGTTATATAAACTAAGTTTTCTTTGGTTTTAGCAATATACTAAATACACCAAAAACTTTACAACAGCAGCTTGAGCAAGTTAGTTTTTAACCTAATCTAATTTAGAAACAAAAAATGTAAAGAAAAAAATTGTTGTCACTGATATTTTTTCTTTGTTTTCTTTCTGAACCACTGGGATCCGCTGGGTACAAACTAGTTTCCAATTGTATTTTCCCAAGTAGCTATATCTACTCATAAATATAATATAAAAGCATTGCTGATAAATGTTATGAACACTTTATGAATAAAATATTAGTATGTATATTTTGGTGAAGTCTTCACAGAGTCATAGATTTTAAGGACAGATGGGAACTCTATGATCCATCAGATCTCTTGAATCATATAGGCCATACAACTTCCTGCTTCAAGTCCAAAAGCTGTGACTGAGTTGGAGCATACTGTTGAGAAAAACATTCAATCTTGATTTAAATATTTCCAATAATGATAAATCTACCACTACCCTTTGTAAATTGTTCCAATGGTTAATATCTCTCGTTAAAGTCACCTATCTCTCATTAAAAAGTCACCTTATTTCCACCTAGTTTAGCTTCCAGTTATTAGATCTTGTACTTTTGTCTGCTGGATTGAAGAAGATTTGTGTTCCCCACGTAGGTATCTGTAGACTGTGACCAAGACATAAGCTCTCATCTTGGACAAACTAAATAGTTTAAGCTCCTTGAGTCTTTTACTGTACGGCATGTTTTCCAGTCCTTTAATCATTTCTTGTGTCTCTTTTCTGAATTCCAATTTTCCAATTTATCGACATTCTTCTTAAAATGTTGATACCAAACCAGACAGTATTCCAGTAGTGATTATGCTAGTGCCAAATACAGAGGTAATATAATTTATGAACATCAGTTTGATATTTCCCTGCTTATATACCCCAGGATGGCATTTGTCCTTTTGTTCACAGTGTTGCACATGGATGGAGTTCATGTTCATATGATTATGCATCATGACCTACAAGTCTTTTTCAGAGTAATTGCTTTCCATATTAGGGTTCCCCCATCCTAGAAGTATGGCCAACATTTTTGTGTTCATAAATGTATGACTTTACAATTGGCTATATTTAACACATACAGTTTGCTAGTACCTAGTTTGCCAAATTGTTCTGAATCAGTTAGGTACCTTCTTCATTAATTACACCTCCCATTCTTTGTGTCATCTGCAAACTTTATCAGTAATTATTTATGTTTTCTTTCAGGTCACTGATAAAAATGTCAAATAGCATAGGGCCAAGAACTGATCCCTTTTGGACCCCTCTAGAATTGAAAATACTCAGTGATTATTTGCTGTTTTCAGGACTCAGAGAGGCACCCATATTAGTCTTCAACAACAAAAAATTGTTGTCACTGATATTTTTTCTTTGTTTTCTTTCTGAACCACTGGGATCCGCTGGGTACAAACTAGTTTCCAATTGTATTTTCCCAAGTAGCTATATCTACTCATAAATATAATATAAAAGCATTGCTGATAAATGTTATGAACACTTTATGAATAAAATATTAGTATGTATATGTTGGTGAAGTCTTCACAGAGTCTTCTTTAAAACCTTAAAACCTTCTTTAAAACCTTCTTTAAAAACCTTAAAAAAGAACAATGGTCCTGTAGCACCTTAGAGATTAATAACAATATATAAATAGTATCACGAGCTTTCATGGTGACTTGTCATCTGAGGAAATGGGTTGTACCCTCAAAAGCTCATGATACTGTTTGTATATTTTTATTAATCTCTAAGTGTGCGTCTAGACTACATTCCTCTTTTGAAAGAGGAATGCAAATGAGGGAAATGGAAAATGCGAATGAAGTGCTGATTTACAACTCTCATGCTTGGTTTACATAATCTCTTCTGATCGCTTTTTTGGAAGAGATTTTTTTTTTTTTAAAAAAAAAGCAGTCTAGAGGGGGTTCTTTCAGGAAAAAAAAAACCCTTTTCAGAAGAACCCAGTAAACCTCATTTTTTTTCAGGGATAAGGGTTCTTTTGAAAAAGAGGTTTTTTTTAAAGAACCCCATCTAAACTGTTTTTTTTTTTTCAAAGTGCTTCATTTGCATTTTCCATTTCCCTCATTTGCATTCCTCTTTCAAAAGAGGAATGTAGTCTAGACTCATCGAAAGGTGCTATAGGACCCTTGATGTTTTTTAAGGTTTTTTTGCTGTTTGCAATAACAGTTTGAGATCTGTCATAGATCCAGTCTTTAAATAACTTAATTTGTACCACATAGATTTTGTTTTGTTCTAGTTTTTTTAATCAAAATGTTTTGTAGTACCATTTCAATACTGTTACCTTTATCAACCAAACTTGTAACTTCATCAAAATTGTAATCTCATCAGAAGAATATCAAGTGACTTTGGCAAGATTTTTTTCCCTTAAACCCACATTGAATGGCAAGTTAATTATACTACCTTCCTTTAATTCTTTATAAATCAAGTTCCATATCAGCCATTCTTTTATTTCACCCAGTACTGATGTGAGGCTAATCGGACTGTAATAAGCTTGGTTATCCTATTTATGTTTTTAAAATATTGGCATGGTATAACCTTTCTTCAAGTCATCCAGAACTCCTGCAGTGTTCTGAGGCTTACTGAAAATCAATATTAATGATCCAGAAAGCACCTTGGCAAACTCTTAAAAGCAACTTTTAAATCTGCTAATTTTAAAATGTCTAATTTTAGCAAATAAAGTTTTTAATATCTTTCTTAGTCATTGTTGGCATGGAAAGTATTTCACCATCATATGATATGAATGCTCCATTTGGCTTTATTCCAGTTGTAGAATACTTCTGTGATTTCGGTATTATCATTGACAATTCTATTATTTCCATCTAGTAATGGACAAGTAACGGTGTTAGCATATCTGTTGTACCCAATATACTTTAAAACTCCTTCTTTTTGCCCTTAGTCTTGCCAGCCATAAATTTCTACTTTTGTCTTTTTGCTTTCCATATCAGTTGTATACAGTTCATAGTTTCTGATTTGTATTCATTACTATGAACTTCTCTTTTTTCCATTTGTTATATATTTTAAAAATTTTATAGCTACTTTAATTTCTCCTATAAGTCAAGTTGTTGTTTTTAACCAATGTACTCCTTTCTTCATTGTGAATTTTTGGACATTTATCAAAATATTTGTAAACAGTTATCAATTTATCTTTCATATTGTGGATTGGATTTTATTCTGCTTACACGTAATATAATTATGTCATGATCACTGGTACCTAAACGACTGTTAATTGTAGTTCTGTTATCAACTGCTGTTTGCCAGTGTCATGTTTAATATCGTGTTCACTCGTAGAATGTAGTCTTTCCAGATTAAGAGAACTCAATATATATAAAAAAAGAATGAATGTGAAAAATAGGTGTCTGTCCACACTCAGATGAGGACAATGCAATGTATGTTTTATGTGGCATTTTCATATTTGATGGAACAAAATGCTTCATGAGAGCTTTTTTAACGATATTTCAGAGTGCAATGGTTACTCAAAATTGGAATGTTTTAAGTGACAGAAATATTTTGACTACTGAAATTAATGGAGGAGGAAGACAGAAAAGAATCAAAAGATGTATGTGTAAAGTGAACAGAATGGGCAAGTAGCTGGTTACATAGTCTGATATAGGTTGCACATTTATGGTAAGTCTTTAATATTAGGATTAGTCCTGAATTTGATTGAGAGCTGGATAGGCAGTCATTAGAGTTACTGAAGAAGGGAGTAATATGTTCCCATTTATGGGCAAAAGGATAGTACCCTGCTGTCTATGAAGCCTAGACTAAATGATCT